CCCCCCCCAACAACCAAAAAAAGAGCGAAGATAAGCGAATAAAAGGTGTTTCTAGATTTCTATTCCCTAATGTGGAGAATTCACATGCTAATTCTGCGCATACAAATTCAATGAATGCTCCTCTCATGCCTCTACACAAATGGCAAGCCCCATAAAACCACCGATCTTAATAAAAACTCGGGTGCACCTTCCCTGCAAGTGGTATTTGCAAAGACTTTGTAACAACTTGCTTCAGAAACTACTCGAGTGGAGGACAAAGGAGCCGCGCTAAACTGTGCCCGGTACAATGCGACGAAAAGTCTCGATTTAATCAGTCCAGGAAGGGGCGGGGGTAAAGGGGGACGGAGGAACCGGCGGGAAAAACATTTTTCCAACTTTTCACTTTTGAGAGGAAAAAGGAAACGAAAAAAGTTTTTAATGTCTTGAGTATACCTGGGTGTGATAACCCGAGGAGTGGGCATTAGCAGTAAAACAAGTTCAACGAGATTTCCTGAGAATAAAGATTTCCCGCAGCTGTTTCATGATGAGTTGAACATTGTTTGTCTCCAAACAATTTCCATTCTTCAATATTTGTCCAGAAGTTTAGGGGCGGACATTAAGGATCCAATTACATTCTAGGGCTTTGGCGATGTGTCAAATGGAATGAATTTGAGTTGTAATACTTTCAACGAGTAAAAGTTGGTCGAATGGGAGAAAAAGTTTTTTTGATTCTGAGGGAGAACATGTGAAGGGAATTATCCATCGATTTTTTATTGATTTATACATACATATTTCATTAATTTATATCGAATCGAAATATCTTTGATGTATACCCTTATGTTGACTTTTGGGACCCTCATGATCATTGGGACCCTTGAGACCCTTGTAACCCTTAGGACCCTTGGAGCCCTTGAGATCCTTGTAACCCTTAGGACCCTTGTAACTCTTAGGAACCTAGGGACCCTTTTAACCGTTAGGACTCTTGGAGCTCTTAGAACCCTTGGGGCCCTTAGGATAAAGGCTCACGAGGACCCTTACGACCCTTGTAATCGTTAGGACTCTTGGGGCCCTTAGAACCCTTGGGACCCTTAGGATAAAGGGTCACGAGGACCCTTGAGATGTTTAGGTCCCTTGGGGCCCTTAGGCCCCTTGGGGCCCTTAGGCCCCTTGGGGCCTTTAGGCCCCTTAGGCCCCTTGGGGCCTTTAGGCCCTTTGGGGCCCTTAAGACCCTTGGGACCGTTGTCTTAATTTACAAAATTATTACATAGAGAGAAAACGGCCAAAACTAATTCACTCATTATTTTCAATTGATTCCATTCAAATAATTAATTCTCACATTTTGATAAATCAATTATCTTCGCCATTTAACCAATGATTGAACCGAAAAATCATGCGTTCATATTTTTAAAAAACCGTTATAAACCCATCCACTTAATTCAAATGAATAATTCCTCCGCATATTCAAAATCCGGACTAAACATATCGTGTAATCCCTCGATTTTCAGAGTTCATACGCAATAGTCGCCGTGACACTCGAGGCATTTCTCCTCATGGGGATGTCATCCCCAATATCTCAAGCTTTAATAATCTACGCTGACCTGACACAAGTCCGTCCGAGTCAGCAGTTTCAGCCTACTGTGATAGCCGTGATAACCGGACTCCCAATTATCTGCATTTTAACAACTGAATTAACCCACAAGAGCACCGGCTGGCGGCACGAGTCCTGGTGGTTGATTTTTGGCACCGGGGTTTACAATATTTTCGTCAGCTGTGTTGCCACAATGCTCTCGATTTTTCTCCTACTGTACAGTGGAATTCTGTGGAAAGCCCACGTCCTGATGGACCAGAGCGCTGTCAAGAAGAAGAGCATTGACGGCAAAATTGGATTACTCCATCGAGCTGCACTCACTGTTTGCGGACTCATTGTCATGGAGGCAGCCTCGATCTTGTTTGTCAACTCGTCGGCGATGATTTATCATTATCTTTTCGGGGGTATTTCCAGCGTTTTGGTGAGCAGATGAATGGGGATGAGTAATAAGTGTGAAAAAGCATGAATGGAGGTGAAATAATCTTTTTTTTTTTGGTTTCCAGGGGTTTGTTATACTTTTTTCGTACATTGGAGGGGGAGAAGTTAGACTGTTTGCTCCGATTCTGAGGAAGTTGAGGTTGACTGATGACGCGGACATCAAATCTGATTCAATTAAAGGTAATTATCAAGTCATAAAGGGAAAGTTTAAAATTGTATGGTTTATGGGTCGATTTTGCATGCCCAGGTAAATGAGGAGTTTGAATATCTTGACAGAGAGTGGTTTTAGGGAAAAATGTGAATAGATTTTTTTTGTGGGGAATTTCTTCCGCTATAAAAAATATCTTTTGAGATTTTTTTCTACATCCACTTGTTTACGAAATAGACACTAATTACCAAAATTATGAAAATCTCATCGTGTCGTTTCGTAGATTTTACTGCAGGCAGCCTCTGGCATTCCCTATAGAACATCTATAGGAAATTCTATAGAAATCGCTATAGAAAATTACATGGAAATTCCATCGAATTTTTATTAAAAAGAACTATATAAAAATATATAGAAATTGCTGTAGAAGACTTCTATAGAAAATTATATGGGAATTCAAATGAAAATTCTATAACAAGCTTATAGAAAATGTTATTGGAAACCCTATAGACAATTATATAGAAATTCCATCGAAATTGAAAGAAACTCCTATAGAAAATTCTATAGGAGATTCTATAGAAATCTTCTATAGGAGATTCTATAAAAAATTCTACAGCAAACCCGTAGAAAATTACGTGGGAATTCCATTGAGATCTTCATTTAAAAAATCTATAGAAAATTCTATAGAAGAATCTATAGACCAAATCTACGACAAACAATGTTATAGGAAATTTCCATAGAAAATTATATGAGACTTCTATCGAGGCATTTGTAGAAAATTCTATAGAAATAGCTATAGGAAATTTATTTGGAAATTCATATAGAAGAATCAATAGAGATCTAAAGAAAATCTATAGAAATTCTTTAAAAAAAAGTCTATAGAAATCTATAGAAAGTTTGTAGATATCTATAAAAAATTTATAGCTTCTTTTTTCATGTGTACATGTCTCCTCAAGTCTCCTAAATCCTCCCCCTTTCAATTTTACCAAATTTCTCTCTGACAATATTCTTCTCCCCCCCCAGTATCATCGAAACCGCCTGATCTAGACAACGAAATGACCCCCCAATCCACAACAATGCTGAACGGTCGAGGCTGCCGACCGCTGCGTGGGCAGACATTGAGCTCCACCGCAATCCGCTACACCATTGAAATCCCACCGTCACACCAAAAGCCCTCGCGACCCTCTCGTCGTGCCGAGCCCCGAGTGTCCCACACCGACGACATAAACCTCGAGAACTACAGCACAAGCCCCCGAAAGTACCACGAGCCAAGGAAATACGATAAAACAATCGGCCCCCAGAATCAATACTGCCACCGTGATTTCTACGAGGTCAACTCCAGGATTATTCAGCCCCACGAGCCAACGAAGCACGCGAATTCCCGGGATATTCAAACGTCAACCTGTGCTGATGCCATAACTGCCGAATGCTCAACAACAGTATTATGCAGTGTCGATATTGAAACGAGAATGGGTTTAAGTGCCATGCCAGACGTTACTCTGGCAACTAAAAGTGACACAGAACATTCAAATGTTGAAATAATCCCTCGCGATGTTGTTAATGTTATTCCGGATATCGCCAGCACTGGGGGACGAAAGCAGCCGGACGACGAGGAGAAGAGTGAGGACATTGGTAATTGTGAAAATACGGCGGGAATGCTCGATCGCATCTCTCATGATCTCGATTATTTGTTGAATCGCACCGGGGAAGAAGCATGAATTATTTCATTAAACGCATTCCGAGCGGCTCGGGCGTTGTGCCTGCGCTTGAAACACGAGCTGCATTTTTTTATGAAAATTGAGAGTGCATTGGGTGAGTGAGGGGATTAGGAATGGGGTGGAATGAAGCTGGTGACGTGGGACGGGGGTCCCGAAGGTGCGAATCCAGGCGGTTTTTTTTGGATTGGAATGCTTGGAGAATGGCTTTTCCATCCCATTTTTCCTCGAGTGGATTATGCTGATAGAAAATTTAATTTTAGGGAGATGTTTTTTGGGGGAACAAGGATTATTTGGTTTGAGGGGTTCTAGGGTCAAATTACACTTATTTTTAGTCGAGAAATTTTCTACTTTCATGAATTGATAGGACATTCCTGCCTAGAAGATGATTGCATGAATAAGTGAATTGAATGTTGGTATGTGTGTACACACGACCCAATATGGCCCAGAATAATTGATTAATTGACGGTTGAATCAAAATTATTCATGAATTGAATGTGGTTCACTCGAATGAAGACTTGAATTGAGATTTTCGTATGTCACATTAAACAGAATTTTTTATTTCCAAATTTTAAATAAATCTTTGTAATTTACGATTTTGTTATCTTGAATTGATGGGATTTACTGCAGGGAAGAAAATACAAACTTGGCATGATTTTACGTTAAAAAAAATCAAATATTCTTATTATTAGGACAAATAAAATTGACTGAAATTCACTGCCAAATCAAATTAATTGAGAAAGTCATCATAAATAATTGTTGTTTCGACAAAATCATCTCGTTAATTAATTTATTGTCTGAATGTAGGTTTTGGTGAATGTCTCTTCCGAATTATTGTATACGATAAAGAATGGAGATTCAGGAATGCGGCAACATGGCAACGTCACGTGTGTTTGAAAACCGAAATACTGTTTATGATACTTTTATTGTGACGCATCGAAAAATACCATAATTCTTATGTTCATGACTTCCATAATTCATATTAATAATTTAGAAATAAAGATGATACTTTTTATAATCTGTTTTATTCAAGAAAATTCAACGATTCCAGACGTATGGGTTGTGCTGTTTAATCAATCATTTTTCCATTTTCATTGTCATGTTATGTTTGCATGAATCCAAAGGATATTTTTTAATTAATTATTAAAACTTACCTCTCTTTCTCTCTCATTAATGCGCAGGAACTTGAAGGATTGCTCAAGGATTTGATAGGAAAATTCTGAGCATTAGGTTTTAATTCTCCATGTGAGAGAGATGGAGTAATTTTAGAAATTTGGGATAATTCAGGGAAATGTTCCTCGGCAATTTTCTAAATTTTGTGTTAATGAATATTGTAGGCAGAGGCGTAATGGAGCCACAGTCACCCAGGATTCGTCAACAAGGTAAATGTATGAAAACATTCAATGGAAAGCCCAAGCGCTTTTTTTAAGAAATTCTATTGAATTTCTATTGGAATTTAATTACAAAAATCGATTTGCTTTTTGCGCCAATTCTGTCGCAGATTATGGAATTTTATCCTATTATTTCGTTAAGAGATATTTAATACAACAAAGTCAATGAATTTTCATTTGTCTATAGAAATTCTTGGGCATAAATTTTCCAAGTTTTTTTCTGTTGTATTTTAATGTTTCTCATAAAATCAAAAAAAAACTTGGAAAACTCTTAATCATTCAAATAGAGTGAAATATACGAAAAAATTAACATCTATATACTTTTTTTTTATAAACAAATGCCTGTTGAAAAATGAATGTAAAAGTTGTGTAATTTTCTATAGAATTTGCACAAAAAACAAGTAGAATTTTCTAATAGAACTCCAATACAATTTTTACAGAAAGACCGAATGCCATTGTTTTTTCTATAGAATTGTTTCCATCAACCATCCCTTAAAAAAAATCTTATAAATTACTCTAACCTCCAATTATCAACCCCACATTTCTTAAAATGAATTTATTCAAAATCAGATTTAAGTTTTTGGTAAATATCTGTATTAACAGTTTCGAATTTTAATTTTTTCATACAGTTGTTTCATTCGATTTAATTGAGTTGCCGTTTTTTTACGGTGTAATTCACTTGATTGGTATCAATACGTAGAATCAGTATGGATTAATTTAGATGGTCCTGCGGAGATAATTCATGTGAATTCAGTGGTGAAGTGGCGAGACGTGATAAAACGAACGAGTTGATTTTGCCATTTTCATTAATAGCGGATTATCTCGGTAATGAGTGAATCTAGAAGAAAATGTCAAAAGACATTTTTTGTAGAGAACTTCACCAGCAAAAACAAATGTCTCTTGATAATTTCCCCTAAACTGCCTCATTATCAAGATAACTTAAAGTTTAAAACGACTAAATGCCTGAATTCACTCAACACTTCGAAATTCCAAATCACAACATTAAAATCAATAACTTGTGGCTCTCAATTTGAACGAAGAATCAAAATATATTTTTAAAACATAAAATTGTAACATCCCATGTCACCAATGCACCACTGAATTCCGACAAATTCCCCTCTCTAATTTTAAAAATCAATTGTCACCAAAAGTCATGAAGTATCATAATGTCAGAATAAATTAAAAACAGAGGAGGAAAAAAAACATACAGATATAACAATTTAATATAAAAAAATACGAGAACCTCAGCCACGGCACCACTTTCTCCAAATAACCCCTCCCCCCTCGCCCCTCTCAATCGCAAATTACTTAAAAATATAAAAATACATAGCCAGTCTATACATCGAGCGTGCAATGTGGCACAGTGAAATGATCTTACTGAGTATCATGGATGGTTAACTGCCACTATCAGCAATCGTAGGTGGTTCAGTATTATCAGTATTTGTGCATGGTCTAATTGTTGAATTGGAAAGCCCTGTTAATTTTGGCGTTGAATTAATTACACTGTCGTTGATTGGTGGTACAGTGTTACCTACGGAATTATCCAGATTCTGGTTGCATTGAAATTCAGGATCTGGTAATAACAGTGTCGTTTGACTAGGTAAATTAGTCAATGATACCATTCCTGGATTCGTCAGTTGTTTGCTGAAACAACTTCGCAGTGCTTCCTCTATTAAATTTGCTATTTTATCACGATCATCCTGAAATTATTAGTAAGTTTAAAATAGATGGACAATTGCATTATTTTATAAATGGGTTCTCTTTTTTTAATTCTTATTTCACTATTTTTTCATATCATAGTACTATCATCAATTGAAATGTCATCAAAATTTCGCGTATTATTTCGTTCTGTCAAATAATTCTACATTTAGACCCTCTCAAGACTCGAATTCGTTTTTAATTAAGTCCGGGTTTAATCAAGTTTCAATCAAGGTTTAATCAGTGTACAGCCAGGATGTAATCAGGGTTTATTCAGGATTTAGCCAGAGTTTAACCCAGGTTCTGTCAGAAGTTAGTCGGGACCATGAATCAATATGAATAAGTATTCAACATAATAGACTAGTACCTGAGTTTAATAGAGATAGAGATTTTTATATAAAAAGCTCATGACAGTATTGTGTAACTTGATAAGCAATGATGCTGTTCTCACCATTTTTCAACTTGATTAAGAAGCCATTGAAATATACTTTTCAAGCCCTGATTTAATTGCTATTACTGATGATTCTTTCAGTAATCATGAAAGAACCGATTTTCTCTTTCAAATCGCATAAACAATGTGCTGTAACTCAACAACGAATTGTGCGACCCCCATCATATTCTGATAGAATCAAGAGGGTATTGTTATCAATTTTATGAGCCACGACTAATTCCATTTTGATGACAAATTGTTGAGTGATCGTTGAAAAATCGATTTTTGGAAAAATACCAATTTTCCTATCTATATGAAAAATTGAATTTTAATTGGTGCAATGAAGAGAGCTTATTAAATTCTATATTCATGAAAAAAAATAATGAAATCAAGGTCACATATTTGTCAAGTCATTTTAGTAATTGCATTAAGTTAATGTTAAATTTATTGATGAATGGATTTTGCAGGGATCGAATGTTTCCATCTCATGAAATCGTGAATTATCTCCAGGAATAATAATTTTAAAGTAAAATATCGATAAAAATTTTGATCTTTCGAATTGAAATGATTTGATATTTATGAAATCTCACCTCATTGATAAATCCAAAATGTACGAGCTCTTGTGCGAGAAGCATTGACGAATCCGTTTGCGAGACAGCGCACGTCAACTGCCTATTCATCTTGTCGTCCATCCGTAACAATATCGTCATCTGAAATTGCTTATTATCAAGGTACGTGTAAATTATCACAATTAATGAGCCAGATGGGAAGCGAGGGTATACTTACAAGCAACTCGCCACTGTCTTCTCTAGGCTTAACGTTACACATCATATTCACTACTCTACGCGTCTCTACATCAACTGGTTCTGGTGTTACGGATTTAACAGACTCGGTAACTTCAGGCGATATGGCCCGTGGACGAACTGGAGGTGGCAATTTGGCTATGAATGCTGTTAATGGATAAATGCCATATCTGGAAATAAAAAAATTAACAATATGAATTTTGCGTGAAATTCACTCAATTATCTCCATAGGGAGTGAATTTAGGAGAAAATGTCATAAGAAACTTTTTGCAGAGAATTTTGTCAGCTACAAAAATGATCTAGTGACATTTCGTCTTAAAACCACTCGTTATCAAGATATTTGGCAATTCAAATTCAATTTTGCAGTTAAATTTGCAATTATTTCGATAACGAGTGGTTTTAGAGTAAAATAGTAAGAACACTTCTAGGAAATTTTCTCCACCACAAAAAGTCTCTGGATATTCTCCCCCATGTAGTCCAACAATGACAAAAACTCACTTGACGTCTTCCACAAATTTTTCCAATTTCTCAGCAACCGGTATATCACTCAGTCGTATTTGGTGTGGGGGTCGGCCTTGATATCTAATTTCAGCGAGTACAGTGTCCGGTCCGTATAACCTCTGCAGTACCTCATCCGTAATTGTTTCCGATATATTTGCTGAACACAAATAAAAGATCATCTATCATTTTCCCATTACATAACGTATGAAAAAATTTAGTTAAACATTTCTATCTTTAAGAAATTCCATTGAAAATTTGTACAAAAATTCTTGAACAGGAATTCTATAATTTTTTTCTGGAAAGAAAGAACTCTGAAAATTTATGCTCAAGAATTTCTATAGAAAAATAAAAATCTAGTGACTTTTTTCTATAGAATGAGTCTCAACAAAATGACGGGAGAATTGCATAACCTACAATATTGACGGAAGGAATTAATTCAATTTTTAAATAAAATTCTAATAGAATTCCCCTAGAATTTTTATCTTTAAGAAATTCTACTGCAATTCTACAAGAATTCTATTAAAATTCTACTACAATTCAATTAAAATTTTTTTATTTCTTCAGTAGATGTTGGATCACAGAAAGAGTTTATAAATGTTGATTTTCTAGTAGAAATAATTTCATTGGGATCATTTCTATAAAAATTCATAGACAAGAATGTTCAATTTTTTCCCCCTTGAATGTTATTACGAAAAACAAATCAACAATAGAAAAAACTTGAAAAATTGATGCCCAAGAACTTCCGTAGAAAAATGAAAATAAAAAAGTAAAATTGCATAATCTGAAGATTACAACAAAAATGTCAGTAAAATATCCTTAAAAACAGAAAAAGTTTTTAAATAGAATTTCTCAAAGAAGACCAATTTTTTCTCTCAAAATTTTTCATATCTGTATTCACTCAATAAAAATTGAGACGACTCACTGGCAGAATTGACGAGGGCATGTGCTGCGAGTAATTTGAGCGAATGTACTTCGAACAATACTGGATGGAACAATAATTCACGTGCACTCGGTCTACTGTGTGGATCAGCCTGAAGACATTTACTTATGAAATCCTTCTGTTGAGCATCGTCCAGTGATTCTATTGTCTTCCTTATATTATCCTCAGTTACGACTGTACCACTATCACCATTCCCTTGTATCTCAAGGGCAGCCATTTCAAGGGCGCACATGCCGAATGAGTAGATGTCAATGGCAGGTGTTAATGAGTCTGTTGATTATACAAATTTCAAGTGTTGACAAGTTTAGTGAAAATTAATCAATTGTGTCTTATGTAATATTAAACGTCAGGATATACTTCCTAGAGAAATTTGGAATTTTCTCGTAAATTCACTTGAACTCGAGATAATTACGTAATTAACAAGAAGAATTTATGAATTTATTACAGTTTTGTTTTTTACATCTTGCTAAATGCTTAATTATCTCGCTAATGAGGCAATTTAGGTAGAAAAGTCAGAAGACCTTTTTTATAGAGAATTTTCTCAGCTACAAAAAAGATGTCTTGACATTTTCTAAAAACACCATTCGTTCATTAGATAAACGCGAAATTAACGAAATGATTTAAGGAATTGACTCCAAATTTTGTCTTGTCTTGTTAAATATTGAATTATTGTTAAAAAATAGTGATTTTACAAGAAAATGTTACAAAAGTTATTTCCAAATTTCCCCTTAACCTCACTGAGTCCAAAAATAAATAAACAATTTATAAAACAATAGAAATCGGCTCATAAACATTAAATTTCGATGAATTTTTCATAAAAATAATGAACCTACTTCCACACTCCGGTGGAACAAAGTGCATATTTTTCACATTAGCTCTGCAGGTCTTGACTCTGTGATGAATAGCCTCCGGAGCAACTGTAAACACAAAATATTTAACGTTAAAAATAGAATCACTAGCATCAATTGAATGATTGCCGGTCCATTTAGCGTACATCTCCACAAAACACAGCACGTAATACCCTCATTGGGCAATTTCATGTGCCCAGCCTACAGTGAATTTATATGCTAATCAGCTGACGTCGATCTCCACTGGAAGTCGCGAAAGCCAAAAGCCATTCGTCGAAAATAACGAGATAAATATTCACAAACCTGAGCCTATTTTGACGAGACCATTGTGTTGAATAAATATTGTATCACATGTAAGGTTTCCATGAACAATGGGGGGTGAGCAGGAATGCAGATAGCTGGAATAAAACAAAATATCACGTTAAAATTGTCGATTAATTGTCATTTGAGCTGGGAGAAATCAATTATTGTTTCCGTCGTGTACCTGAGTGCTGAGAGAATTTGCGTGCACCATCTCTTCCACGCTTGAAGTGGTAGTTTCTTGACATTTCGCTTTGTGCGTTTTAGGAACTGCTTCAATGATCCTGACGACATGTATTCGGTTATAAATATGACCTGAAAGAATACATTTACCCAATTCAATTTATTCGAGTTTTCAATGGTGTTGATGATGAGTGATTTTGGAGGTGAATGCATTATTTTGTGGGGATGAATTATTTTCTGCGGCTGTAGAAATTCGGTTGACATTTTTCATGGATGGATGAATGGACGAAAAGTATTTTGACATTTTTGTGTTGAAAAATTTAATTGAGCGAGTTGATGAATGGATTTTTACACCGATTGATTTTTTGTAATCATCGGGTTTTATATAATTGGTAAATATTCGTTTATCTTGATAATGAATGGTTTTGGAGAAAAATGTCATGACACATTCTTGAAGAGAATTTAGTCAACTAGAAACAAGCTATTTTGACTTTTTCTGGTAAAAATTATTTTTCACGAGATAATTGGGAATTATCAAAAATGGATTCATGAATAGACTTTGCACAGATCAGGTTTTAAGTTTTGGGAAACATTTAATTGTTTAGATAATGAGTGATTTTAGAGGACAATGTCACAAGACATTTTTATGGGGAATCTCCTCAGTTGCAAAAAATGTTTTTGAGAATTCTCTTTAGAATAACTCGTTCATGAAACAATTAGCAATTACCAAAGAGGAATTAATGAATTTGGCCCAGATATCAATTTTGTATATCTTAAACATTCAATTATCTTGGTAATGAACGATTTTCGAAAAAAATGTCATAAAACTTTTTTTTAGCAAATTTTCTGAACTACAAAAAAGATCTTCTGACATTTTCGCCTAAAACCACTCATTCCCGAGATAATTGACAATTAACAAAACCTAATTAGATTTCATAATGATTTTATTATTTAAACTTTGCAGGTCTCAATTTGAATCTTGATATTGAACCGTTAGAATAATTTTAAAAATCTGGACAAAAATTAGAAAACAATTAGAATTTTCTCTTTTAGAAAAAAATTGATGAAGTAATTTAAAAAATGCAATTTTTCAAAATTACGAGCATTTCCTATAAATAATTAATAAAAAATCAATTTTCCACCGTAAAAATCATGTGTTCGGAGTCTTAGCAAATTTATTCATATTTGAAAGTAATTTAAAAAAAAGTTTCCGAGAGTTTAAACAATTTCACTTATTTATTTACAACAGCAAATGTTTAAAAAATAATAATTCCCTGCAAAACGTAATTGTAATGCCGCTGCATATTCCCGATTTTTTTTGCAAATTTTCCTCAAAATGTTCCTTTAAAAAATTCCTCAAAAAAATTTCCTTGAAAATCTTCCTATCGCATGAAATATCATAAAATACAAACCAATAACATGAACTTACTCTGGGTTTGTCATTATGAGTGTCCGTCCAATACCTATGAAACTTGACGATATTCGGATGCTCGAGTTGTGTCAAATTTTCAAAAACCAGTTGAATCTTCTCCTCCTGTGCCTTGAAATTTTTTCTCTCCGAGAATTGCACCTCATTCCAGACCACCTCGACCCCCTCCTCCGTGTCCATAGCCAAGTAGGCACAGTCAATTCCAGGAACATCTCGTTGTCCAACCTAGAGTTAAAATAACAATATCTACTGGACGGATATCAACTTGTCGTTGGCGACTTATCAATAATGCCTGCGCATAAAAACATAATAATCGTCATTCTGTAACTGAAGACGGAGGGAGTCATGGCATTTATCATTATCATTGTCATTGTTACTGTGCATATGTGTTGACATAAAACAAACGATTGAACAAATAAATTAGCCGAGTTATTCGCAGTTGGAACGGATTTTCATGCGCCTTTGTCATTACATGGATGTGGCCTTGCCAAGAATTTAAGAAGATGATAAGTGGGGACAACTGATAGGTGGAACGAGGGGTGAGGGGGAGGGAGTTGAACCATTACCGATGTGACTTATTACCCCACAGGCATTTACATTCATTGATGTACTGAAATGCCATGACGATTCAGCTACAATAACACTTTGAATAAAGGGAAGAAAATCGATGGACTAAAAATATAAACCTCCAAGTTCAATTCGTGCACATCCATGTTGGGGGCTTTGAATTTCAGGATGTTTCGGCGATAGTTGTGAATTTGCGGTGAGCTGGGGAATTTGGTGAATTTAGCGGAGAATTGATTTTGCAGGAGTTGATTTTTCTCGTTTTTTTTGGGTGAATAGGTTCAGGGGAAAAGGTTGAGGCATTTTCTGGAGGGATTTTTAACAGCTTTAGATGTTTCTAGGGTTCTTTAAATAAAATAAGGCACAATTACCTCATTGAAGTAATTCCCAAAAAATTCTTTCAGAATTGTTTTAGAATTTCCCACAAAAATATCCAGTTGGATTTTTTTTTTACATTTTTTTTTTGAGAATTGACGGAAATTAATTTATGAATCATTGCAGCTAAATTTTAGAGAATTTATTTCGCAGAAATTGACTTTTCTGTATTTTTTGGGGTTTAACTTCCTGAATTTTCAGTTTTCTATTGATTTTTGTTTCTTTTTAAGTGAATAGGTTTAGGGGAAAATGATTAGTCTTTTTTTGTAGGGATTTTCAATAGCTAGAGACGTTTCTAGGGTTCTTTAAATAAAATAAGGCGCAATTACCTCAGACATTTTTTTTTTAATTAAAAAAAAAATTTTCAGTTGAATTTGATTTTTTTTAGAATTCTTTTCTTTTTGAGAATTAATGGAAATTAATTTATGAATCATTTCAGCAACATTTTACAGAATCTATTTTGCAGGAGTTGATTTTTCTGTATTTTTTGGAGTTTAACTTCCTGAATCATCAGTTTTCTGTTGATTTTTGTTTTTTTAGGTGAATAGGGTTAGGAGAAAATGTTGAGTCATTTTTTGTAGGGATTTTCAACAGCTTTAGATGTTTCTAGGGTTTTTAAAATAAAATAAGGCGAAATTACCTCAGAAATTCTTTTAAAATTTAACAAAAAAAATTTCCAGTTGGATTTGATTTTTTTTTAGATTTTTTCTTTTTGAGAATGAATGGAAATTTATTTATGAATCATTTCAGCTAAATTTTAGAGAATTTATTTCGCAGGAGTTGATTTTTCTGTATTTTTTGGGTTTAACTTCTTGAATTTTCTGTTTTCTATTGATTTTTTTTGGGTGAATAGGTTTAGGGAAAAATGTTGAATTATTTTTGTGAGGATTTTAATTTTTTTATCGTTGTATTTTCCTCGTGTGGAATTATCACAACGATGAGGTTTTTTATCAGTGATTCCTCAAGTTTCTTCATAGAATGACTTGTTTCTGAGACGAATTGAAATCGACGAAAATGAATTTGGTATTTATTTTTCATGAGGTTTATAATTCAGGATGTTTACACGATCGTTTTGAATTTAGGTATTTCAGGGTTGAGAAATTCGTCGCTGTAAAATTTAGAGAATTAAATGAAGAATTGATTTTCCAGAAGTTGATTTTTCTGTTTTTTTTTGTGAATAGCTTTACGGGAAAATGTTGAATTATTTTTGTGAGGATTTTATCGTTTTATCGTTTTTTTTTCTGTGTGGAATTATCACGACCATGATTCATTTCTGAAGACGATTTGGAATCAACGAAAATGGATTTGGTATTTATTTTTCATGAGGTTTATAATTCAGGATGTTTACACAATCGTTTTGAATTCAGGTATTTTAGGGTTGAGAAATTCGTCGCAATAAAATTCAGAGAATTTAGAGAATTAAATTTTTGAATTCATGAAATTAAATGAAGAATTGATTTTGCAGGAGTCGATTTTTCAGTATTTTTTTTTTCGTTTTGATTTGATTAAATTGAAGGTGAATAGCTTGGGGGAAAATGTAGTCATTTTCGTGAGGGTTTTATCTTTTTATCTTGGTATTTTCTTTCTGTGGAATTATCATAACGATGCGGTGATTTATCAGTAGTTCCTCAAATTTTTCCATAGAATGAATCGTTTCTGAAACGATTTGTTAGAGTAAACAAACTAAAATTTTTTCCTAAAACAAATATTTTCTCACATAAATTAATTTTTTTTGTGTATTGAGGAATAAAATTTACAAAAATCAGTTTTTTATTTCATTCAATACTCAATGACCTTGATAATAGCTAATATCGAAGGAAAATCCGTCGAATGCAAATGATTATTGAGGAAATAGTATTCCCCGGAACCATAAAAATCGATAGAATGGCTCGTTTCTGAGACGATATTTTATTGTGCAATAAAGGCCTTGGAATTATCTCCTGAAAGAAATATTTTTTCAGATAATTTTTGTTTTGAATATATTGAAGAATAAATTCTGAAAAAAAAAATCAATTTTTCATTTTGTTCAACACCGATCGTTCTGGAGAATACCTAATATCGAAGAAAAATACATTGAATGCAACTAAGAATTAAGGAAATAGTATCCCCATAACTATGAAAATTCCTAGATTGACTAATTTTTCAGATGAATTCATTTTTTTAATGTATTCAAGAATAAATTCTGATAAAATCAATTTTTCCTTTCATTCAACACCGAATTATCTCGAGGATACCTAAGATCCAAGAAAAATTCGTTGAATGCAAATGAAAATTAAAGAAATAGTATTCCACACAAGCATAAAAATCGATATGACTCGTTTCAGAGACGATATTTTAGTTGATTATACAATAATGGCCTTGAAATTATCTCTTGAAAGGAATATTTTAATTCTTTTAATTTATTTTATATATTGAAGATTAAATTCTGAAAAAAATCAATTTTTCATTTCATTCAACACCGAATAATCTCGCCAATACCTAACATCGAAAGAAAATTCAGTGAATTCAACTAAAAATTAAGGAAATAGTAATCTCCATAACCATGAAAATCCCCAGAATGACTGGTGATTTGAATTATCTTTCAATTCCCTCGTTAATTCTCTTTTTTAAAAATATGAAGAAAAATAAATTCAGAAAAAATTAATTTTTCATTTCATTCAATACCGAATACCCCCGCCAATACCTAATATCAAAGGAAAATTTATTGAATTCAACTAAAAATTAAGGAAATAGTATTCTCCATAACCATGAAAATCCCCAGAATGATTCGTAATTTTAATTCTCTTTCAATTCTCTCGTTAATTCTCTTTTTTTTAATGTATTGAAGAATAAATTCTGATAAAATCAATTTTTCATTTCATTCAACACCGAATAATCTCGCCAATACCTAACATCGAAAGAAAATTCATTGAATTCAACTAAAAATTAAGGAAATAGTATTCTCCATAACCATGAAAATCCCCAGAATGACTCGTGATTTGAATTATCTTTCAATTCTCTCGTTAATTCTCTCTTTTTTTAAATGTATTGAAGAATACATTCTGATAAAATCAATTTTTCATTTCATTCAACACCGAATACCCTCGCCAATACCTGTTATCAAAGGAAAATTAATTGAACGCAAATAAAAATTAAGCAAATAGTATTCCCCACGTCCATAAAAATCCGCCAAATAAATAAAAATAATTATGCTGACAATACCTCCATCTCAGAAACGTCGTTATCACTCCTGAGCCCTCCAAAATTCGTACCATCAGCCAGTGTCGACTTGGATCCCACATAGACCTGCAAAAAAAAGCCACAAACATTCTCGTTTCCGCCTAAACAAGCCCATCATCCGAATCGGAAACACAATAATGATGTCACGACTCCCGATGATGCCAAAAATTCATCCATGCCGCCTATTCTTAGTCCGAAATTGAAAAACAGAGCCGATACCCGGTGAATCTGCACCCTGCCAGAACCGAATATTCTTGGCAGGATGCAATAAACCCCCTAAATACCTCGACAGAAATCTCGTTATCACGAAATCTCTCGTTATATCACGAATTCCCCTCGGCCACGTTCGCTCGTTCGATTTAACTCGGTGAAAATTGCACGTTGGATTTGATAACCACAGACGGTAATGATTAGAAATAGAGCAGGGTCAACTCTATGCATATATCAGTTGTTTTGGATTGTGGTTAGACCACAATGGGAATTCTAATGCACGAACTAGTTAAGGAGAGACTCCTGTGAGTTTTAAAAGTCGTTTACGACTTTTCATACGTTGAACATCGGTTATATAGATCTGAAAACGAATAATTAGTGCAAAAAAAATTTTTTTTTATTGTTCGTTTGCCCGAAATAGTATATTTCGATACGATTGCGGGAAAGTGTTTTGTTTGGGCCCGTGGGAGGTTTATAGCACGAGCCGAAGGCGATATAATATAATCCCACGAGTCTAAAAACACTTTTCCCGCGAGTATCGAACCCTATTTTTCATCACAATGTGTGGGAAGTGGGGTTTTACGCACCCCGAACGTGCGGAAAACGCTTAAAATACCAAAAAACGTCCAGGGTCTCCAATTTTTGAGCTACGAATGATTTTTTTTTTCAAAATTTTCGGAAAAATATGTGGAATAACAATTACGAGCTATTTTTTTTAATTCACCTCTTACATGGCTAAATTTGCTTTTTTTGTATTTTTTTACATGAATAGTGAATTTTTTTATATGAAAAAAAAAACCGAAATCAGATGTGTAGGAGTCGAATTCCAAAAAACTTGCTCTTAATTGTTGTTCCACACATTTTTCCGAAAATTTAAAAAAAAAAAATCTTTTGTAGCTCAAAAAGTGGAGGCCCTGGACTGTTTTTAGCATTTTAAGCGTTTTCGGGCAAACGAACAATAAAAATTTTTTTTTTGCACTAATTACTCGTTTTCAGATCTATATAATCGATCTTCAACGTATGCAAAGTCTCACTCCAATAACCCACGACTTTTAAAACTCACAGGAGTCTCCCCTTAATCAAAATACGTTCGCTATAAATACTGGAGAAGCGACGTTAGGGATATTCAGGTACTTCAGCTATTTTTTCTCCAGTGAAATGATTTTCTACTCTAGCTCTATTTGACCTAAAGTTTCCGGACATTTTACAATGATTTTATTATTTAAACTTGGCAGGTCTGAAGTTGAATCTCGATATTGAAAAATATTTTAAAAGTCCGTTAGAAAATATTTTAAAAGTCTGTGAAAAAATTGGCAAGTTTACTTTGGAGGAAGATTGATGCAACAATTTAAAAATTGCAATTTTTGAAAATTACGAGTATTTTTTGATAATAACTCATGGTTAACTTGAATGATTTAATTTTATATGTAATTTATGAACAATCAATTTTTCACTATAAAACTCATTTGTTTGGAATCGCAAAAATTTGTTAATATTCAGAATTTTTCCAGAAATCCATCTCATGCCTAATAAAATGAGGTTTCCGAATGTTTAAACAATTTCAATTATTTATTTATAAACAACGAATATTTTTTCATATAAATTAATTGAACGAATGTTTAAAGAATAATAATTCTGTACAAAATGTAATTTTAATGATGCTGAATATTTATGTTGTTCAAATTTTTTTCACATGTTTCTCACGCAAATTAATTGACAAATTTTATGATTGAAAATGGTTGAATCTATAGTGTGAGCTGTACTAAACTTTGAAAGATACGTGGATATTCTTAAATGAATCTTCTTCAATCATTAATATCCCGTGACCAAACGATACAATTGGAATGAATCAAAGCTTATTTTAAGGTCTGCAAAAATATCTTCAAAATGAAAAAAAAATTGGCGAATTTCACTCTGCCTATCCTGAATTATTGGGGATTAAACCCAGTCGATTTGAAAAAAAAAAGAATTCAATTCACTTCGCTATGAGAAAGTCAAATATTCTTTAAAATTTAGAATGCCTTCTGGCCCAATGCCCCGATGTCGATGAATTAAATCTCATTTTAAAGAGTCCAAAAATAGATTTAAAATGAAAAAAAAATCGTTGAACTTTACTCTGTTAATCCCAAGATCTAATTTCGTATGAGGAAAAAAATACTTTCTGAAATTTCGAATATCTTCGGAGCCAATAGTCCAATTTGAATAAATTGAAACTCATTTTGAAGTTTGAAAAATACCCTTCAATGAAAAAAAATACTTATACTTTTGTACGAAGAAAAAAGGGCATTCTGAAATTTCAAATATCTTTTGACCCAATGCTCCCATTTTGACGAGTGAAATCTTATTTTAAAATCCCTAAAAATATCTTCAAAATGGGAAAAAATTGTCGAACTTCAGTCTATCGATCCCAATATATCAAGAATTAAAACCCAGCCGATTTTTAAAAACCAATGAATTATATTTTTCTACAACGAAAACAGACATTCTAAAGGCTCCAATATCCTCTGACCCAATTTCCCAATTTTGTTGAGTAAAATCTCATGTTAAAATCCCCGAAAATATCTCGAAAATGTTAAAAAATAGTTGAATTTTACTGGATACTATTCAATAAAAACCTAGTCAAATTTAAAAACCCAATGCATTATCCTTTTCCACAAAGAAAAAAAGACATTCTAAAATCTCAAATACATTCTCGCCTAATGTTCCAATTTTGATGAGTGAAATCTCATTTTAAAATTCCTAAAAATATCTCGAAAATGTTCAAAAATCGTTGAATTTTACTGAATTTTGTAGAATTAAAACCCAGTCCATATTTAAAAACCCAATGCATTATCCTTTTCCACAAACAAAAAAAGACATTCTAAAATTTCAAATATCCTCTTTGACGCAATTTTTCAATTTTGATGAGTGAAATCTCATGTTAAAAATATCTCGAAACTGGGCAAAAAATCATTGAATTTTACTGAATTCTATTGAACTAAAACCCAGTCAATTTTTAAAAACCAATGCAGTATACTTTGCTATTAAAAAAAGACATTTTAAAATCTCAAATATCTTCTGAACCAATGCTCCAATTTTGATGAGTGAAACCTCATGTTAAAGTCACTAAAAATATCTCGAAAATGGAAACAAAAATTGAATTTTCCTAAATTCTATTGAATAAAAACCTAGTGAATTATCAAAACTAATGCATTATCCTTTTCCTCAAATAAAAAAAGACATTCTAAAATCTCAAATATCCTCTGACCCAATTTTCCAATTTTGAAGAGTGAAATCTTATGTTAAAGTCTCTAAAAATATCTCGAAAATGGAAAAAAATGATTGAATTTTACTGAATTCTATTGAATTAAAAGCACAGTCAATTAAAAAAAAACAATGCATTATCCTTCTCCACAAATAAAAAAACCCATTCTAAACCTCAAATATCTTCCAACCCACCGGTTCGACTCAACCAACTCAAACTTAATCCCCACCCTCAAAACATCCCCCGCAAAAAACTCCAAATTCCCTCGCCCCCCCAAAACCCCCGAAAAACTCACCCCAAAAAGAAACCCACTGCAGTCTTCCTCCGCCACAAAGCCCGCAAACCCCGAATACAGTAACCGTGATAATGCGATTATCTCCAGATAAGTCAATACTAACTCCAGACCGAGTGGATGATCGCACGTCGGACTGAATTTTCAAGGTAACTATAAGTGCGAAGGTATGACTCACAGGTATTGTACCCCGCTGTTCCGCATACCTGCGGGTAAACCCCCCCCGCCCCACCTGTCATTCCCACCCCAAAGGCCCTTCCCAGAGCCCTCGAAGACCCACCAAAATTCAGCGACAAATTTTCACGACAAAATAAACCAACAAAAACGAAAAAAAATAATAATTACCTCTTCCCTTCGCTTCAGCCACCGCCCGCAGGGACTCTCTTCCAGAATTTCACTCTCATCTTCAGAGTCTTCACCACTTTCCCGCGGTGATTTGTGTTCTGGGTCGGTACTGGATCGACTCCCAGGCATCACACACACGCTTATTAAAAAATCACCACCGAAATTATCGACTCGTTAAAGCACATTTGTGGAGCCCAAATAGTCCGTGAGCACTGATCCACAATTATATGAGTCCTCGAGTTCCCCAAAAACCACCGATTGACCCGACAATCAAGCGCCTCACAAACTGTTTATAAACTCAACGATTGTTGTTGCTGTTGTAATTGTCCGACGATGTGCGACGAAAAAAAAAGCCCGAGTATGCTTTTGCAAAAGTGACACATGCAGGGGGGGAACCTGTTCCTGCACCGCTCGGTTATCAATATCACTGATGTTACACGGCCCAGCCGTTTCAATGCCCGTTAACAATATACCTCAGGTATTGTTTGTTCAATCGTACATCACGGCTATCACACACTATTCTTACTGTCAAAATAAAAACCAGTGTTATGAATGGAATAACTTGGATGTGACACACACTCTGGCAATCATTTTCACTACGTCTTGGGTCACGTTAGCCCGAGTATGGCAATCGCCAATACCGCACCCATTTGGGGGAGCGTAACCTCCCTCTGGCGGGAGAAGAGAGACTTCGCGGTTAGACTGGAGACGTGAGCGACAAAGCTGACCGGCAGGGGTGGGCGAGTAAGTTGAGGAGTTGTGGCAAAACTAAACAGATGGCGCAGGGTGTTACCCATCTATTTGTCCTAGGCATTGAAGAAAGATGGTTAGACGCTGCTGTCCTTGTCTGGTCTATTGAAAAGTCGGTGGAGAGCTGGCGTCGATACTTCGTGAATTGGCCGAAAACTCTAATTGCGTTGGTAAATTACATAGGTTTTTACCGACGTAATTTACGTGAATTACCTCGACGGGGTTTTTACATTTTTTACATTACTTCGAAAAGGTTGCCATTTTTGGGTACTAAAATGTTTTATTTTAGCCCGACTGACGGAGACGCGGTATTGGACCCATAAATATAATAAATAGTACATTACATGCCCGAGCCTTGGAAAAGCAGATCACCTCGCCTTCGGCTCGGAAGGCGATCTTGCAGGTGGGGGAGGGTGATATGTTTTCCATGGCGAGGTGTGTATATTAATTTTCGTGTCGAGGGACCTGCAAAACGCCAATTTTGAGAGAAAATGGGGTTTTTTAAGTCCCGTGACCCGAAAAAATAGTATATTTCGCTACGAGTGCGGAAAAGAGTTTTTTGGTTCGTGGGAGGTTTATAACACGAGCCGAAGGCGAGTGATATAATTTCACGAGCCAAAAAACACTTTTCCCACGAGTATCAAAAGATATTTTTCATCACAATGTGTGGAAAAGGGACGTTTTAGGCACGCTTCGCGTGCCTAAGTTACTTTGTCGCACAACGTGATGAAATAGTATATTTCGTAACGAGTGCAAAAAAGTGTTTTTTGGCGAGTGGGAGGTTTATATCACGCGCCGAAGGCAAGTGATATAATCCCACGAGCTAAAAAACATTTTTTCACGAGTTACGAACAATATTTTTCATCACAATGTGGTGGAAATTGGACTTTTAGGCACAACGTGATGAAATAGTATATATTATGTCCCTAGCACAGATAAACCGCGAATTTTAAATTCACTTTGTTCGGTTAGAACACGGTTCTCGGTACGTGGGGCATAAAATGTTATTTTATCGCCTTGTGACATAATGTATTATTACATCACGTGGTACGATCCGCGGCACTTTAAGAAACTCAAAAACATGAGCCTCATACCTCATAAAGTCTAAATTTTAAACTGCGATTATCGACAGATGCCCAACCCAGGACGTTGCGGTTTGACTAATGTTATTGCCATTAGCCGGAGTTGTAGATTTTTGTTGGCATCCAACAGCGCTTATATGTGAGTGGGAGATATCTTAACACCATGCCTTAAACCTGTTCACTCGTAGCCGTTTGATGGTACGGTAGATGGATGACATCATATGACGCCTCTGTATTTCAAATAAATATCTCTTAATAAAATTACAAGGTCGAGGTGCACAATCTTCTACAGAACTGGCTCAAGAAACAAATACCACTTTGAAAATTAAAAGGCTCTCTATATTATAAAAATCAAAATCGCCTTCTGGTGATAAAAATTTTGTACTCGAAATTAAGTCTCCAAAATTAAGGGTCAAAATGAGGATGATGTAGGTCAGAATAGGGATCACAAGGGTCAAAAAAAGGTCATGAGGATTAGAATAAGGGTCAGGAAGATCAGAATAAGAATCCCAAGGGTCAAAACACGAGTCAGAATAACTATCCAAATCAGGGTTACTAGGATCAGATTAAGGGTCAGAATAAGGGTCACGAGAGTTAAAATGAGGGGCATGTGGGTCAGAATAAGGATCAGAGTAACTATCCAAATAAGGGTTACCACGATCAGAGTAAGGGTCAGCGTAAGGGTCCAAATAAGGGTCATGGTAGTAAAAAACCAAGGGTCAGAAACTAAGGGTCACCGGGGTTAAAATAAGGCTCACGGGGATTATGAGTGTCAGATTAAGCATCTAAATAAGGGTCAAAAAGGTCAGCATAATGGTCACGAGGGTCATGTGCGTCAGAATAAGGATCACGAGTGTCAAAATAAAGGTCATGAGGATCAGAATGAGGGTCAAGAGGATCAGAATAAGGATCACAAGGGTCAGAATAACTATCCAAATGAGGGTTACAAAGATCAGAGTAAGGGTCAGCGTAAGGGTCCAAATAAGGGTCATGGGAGTCAAAAATCAAGGGTCATTGGGGTTAAAATAAGGCTCACGAGGGTTATAATGAGTGTCAGATTAAGGATCTAAATAAGGGTCACAAAGGTCAGAATAAGGATCATGGGGGTCACATGGGCGTTGGTGAGCGGGGCGAGCAGGGGCCCCTCAGTTTCACAATATAATTTTAAAATAAAAAATTCCAAAACCATAAATTTTACCCCACTTTCCTCCACGCGAACTGCCACCGGTCAGGAGGGGCAGCAGTCGTGGTGGGAGAACGTAGCGGGCTCGGAGAATGACGCGGGTAGTGTTTTTCAGTTGGTGTGGCCGCCTCGCGGGCCGTAGTGAGTTAACAGGTGTTTCATACGATTCAAAAACCCCAACATCAAAAAACTGGTGTCTGTTAGCCCCGTTATTCCACTCCGAATGTTCGATAAATCGTCAAAGCCTTGGGATTATTTCATTTCCTCGCCAGGGATTTATAATTAAGTGATCGATCGATCGATCGTGCAATCGTTATTCCGATAATTGTTGGTATCGTGAGGGTATCATGATGTCAGAGACCGTTGTGACTGTCCAGGATGGTTCCAACAACGCAAATAATCCACGTCAAGGACCAACAGTCAAGACAGAACCAGGTCAGACCAGTGTCATCGGCGGGATAACGTTAAATATACCTTATTTCAAGTCGATACCGGGTATCGTCAAACTCGTTGAAGTGGTGAGTCGATTATACACGAACAGGTGGGGCAGAATGGACTCTTACATTTCGTTAAAAAATTATAAGTCGAGAATAAATCGATCGATCGAGCTGTCTGTGCTCATTACGAAGAGAAGGAAGTAGATGAAGAAGTTCATTAACAATTAAATAAATATCAAATAATTATTTCAACGTTTGAAAGACAGTCTAGAGCCCATTTTGCCCCCTCGTCCTATGTATTATGTTTTATTCTTCAGTTATTCACTCCCCGAATAGATGAAATGCCGTTGAATCACCGGTTTATGCGCCTCAATGGCTGTCTTTCGAGCCTTTGGGGTCGAGAAGTTATAGGGAAATGCTTGTATCGGATTCAAGTTTTGTCACGGTCGTGTGTACACCTCCAAATTTATGTATATAGTCCACATAACGATAGGGTTACAGTGGAGGAGTGCCAAGATGCTTTTGACGAGCTCCATTTCCACTTTTTTATAAATTGGATGGGTTTGATCGGTGATAACTCGCGATTCGCTGAGGGAATTACCGGGATTTTTTTTAGGTTTGAAGATGTTTTTTGTGGAGTTTTCAGTCGTTGAAATTGTGTCGCTGGGTTAGAAGATATTTGAGGTTCATAAAGTCATTTTTTCTCGTGCAAAAGTAGATTGTTGATGTTATGTTTGATAAACCTTGCGATATCTAGGAAACTTCTAGGTTTATCGAAAAATATCATAAGAACTTTTTTGTAGCCCTTGAAATTTCCCATGAAAAAAAGGTATTTGAGGTTTTTTGATAAATGCGGTAGTTTAGGAGATATTGGACATTTTATTCACCCGTTTTTGAAGACCGAACAAATTTTTTTCTACTCCCAGAATTATCGTGCTTGATAAACCTCGCAATATCTCTAAAACTAGTAGGTTTATCAAAAAATATCACATCATCTTTTTTATAGCCCGTGGAATTTCCCATGAAAGAAGTTATTTGACATTTTTTGATGAATTCAATAGTTTAGAAGATATTGGACATTTTATTCACCCATTTTGGGAAACCGAACAAATTTTTTTCTACTCACAGAATTATCGTGCTTGATAAACCTTGCAATATCTCTAAAACTAGTAGGTTTATCAAAAAGTATCACATAATTTTTTTTGTAGCCCTTGAAATTTCCCATAAAAAAGTCTCATAACGTTTTTCGATTAACCTAATAGTTAAGGAGATATTAAGCACCTTATTCATTAAAAAACCTAACGAATTCTTTTTCCTACTACGCATTGTTTCTGGACACATTCAGATAAGTTAATTGAATATTTAACTTATCTCATTTCAAGTTATTAGTGCATGACTAGACGACTTTTTATTTGTCCATGTTTATTTTAATATGTGAGTCAGTGTCGACTTCATACCTCCCGACATTGACGTGAGACAGAACGGAATTGAAGAATGATTTTTTTTTGTTGTTATGTAATGAGGCGCAACACCCACAAGTCACGTATGCGGCCTGAATCTGACATTTTTCGTTGGTAAACAGCGTCTCACAGTAGACGAAATAAGGTCTGAATGTTGGATTCTGTCATGCTATTTTTTGTTTGCTGTCATTCGGGACAATACTCTCTCGCATTAGCACTTGAATCGTAACGGTATGGGAATCCTCGTCACAGTTCGCATCCTTCTTAGATGGACGACCTCGGAATATTTTCCCATGATGCATGGTTTATGTTTTTTGTTATTTTATTATGTTGTTTTTTTTATTCTACATTTACGATTATTATGTTTGATAAAACTCGGAATATCTCCAAAATTAGGAGGTTTGTGGAAAAATGTCATAAAATCTTTTTTGTAGCCCTTGAAATTTCATATGAAAGATGTTATTCGAGGTTTTTTAATAAATGCGATAGTTTAGGAGATATCGAACATTTTATGCAATCGGTTTTGAAAAGCGAACGAATTTTTCGACTACACCTAAAATTATTATTTGACAAACATCGGAATATCTCTAAAACTAGGGATTTTATTGGAAAATGCTATAAAATATTTTTCGTAGCCCTTGAAATTTCATATGAAAGATGTTATTTAAGGCTTTTTGATAAATGCAATAGTTTAAAAGATATTCAACATTTTATTCAAATGTTTTTGAC